GCGACTTCGCGGATTTGTTATCCCGTCTTGGATCTGAATGGCTTTATTGACAGTTGAATTATGGAGTCTGGTTTGCATGCGATTAAAAATTGCACGTTGAATCCTGCATTATTTTGACAACTTTCTTTAAGTAAAAAATTAAGGGGGCATTAGAGTAAGTAGAACATAGAAAACGTGTTTGGCCTTCTTTGTGTGTCCTGTACATAGGTACGTTCCAATGAAACATTTCCAACATATTCCATATTCCTGGACTTAAAATAGACCGATTTAGGACAATTCACCTATATCCGTAATTGCTTCGGCTTTGACCGCTAGATGGTGTCAAAATTTCTGAAAAATTATTTAATTTTAAGGCTTTTTCGGCTCGTGTTGATATTTCTAGTACCATAGTTTTTCGGGTTGTTATGTCATGGCCTATCTATCTAGCTAGTAGATTTACATTGCAGTTCCTGAGCCTTAGGTAGGAGTCTAATAATGACAGCTCCACAAAAAAAAATTGTGCAAATGACCAGAATACATTATTCCCGTGTATTTTGAGAGCTGAACACGAATCCGATGTCAGAATTGCCCCAGCATAGCAAATCACTAGAACATAAAAACATTGACAAATCAACATGGTAATTTGCTGGGGCAATTCTGACACCGAATTCGAATTCAGAATATACACGAGAATAATGTATTCTGGTCATTTGCACTTTTTTTGTGGAGCTGTGTAATTTATTTTCCTTTAAGAATTGGATATGGATAATAAAATCATGTATACATATTGCATTATAGTAAAATATAGAATAGCACCCATATAGAAAGGTGTTAGAAGTTTGACTGCCTTAATTTTAACAGACGATAGAACATTAAAATAAACAGAAAAACCTTATATAACATGGATCCTAAACTCAACCATTTCCGAGAAAAAAATTATCAAAATCTCCAACTTCATTAATTCTAAAAAATAATTAGCGTTGTAATAAATTTAAAATTTGATAAAATTCATATCGAGCAATGTGACAACGGCGCGGCGGATAACACGAGGTACCATAAGCTGTCCAGCAATACGCAATTCAATTGGTATCTGGAATTGGACCATGTCTAAGAGTTGTTTGCGTATCACTATTTCCTTTTCTTGAGGTGTTTTCCAGCGAGTGCGCGAAAATTGGATTCGAAGGTGTCGTGCGTGCATCGCAAATGGTCGAGGACATTTTGAGCATATTGTAGTTTGCTTTGTACTTGTGCGTTTAAAAATTACTGAATTTTGCTTTTTGGTAAGTACCTAAATTATTTTTAATACGTATGATTATTTGGACGACATGAATCTTTGGGTACTTTAATTACATATTTTTCAGATTCATTATTTGATTAAAAGTTAAGTTCCTATTTTAAGAGATTTATAATTACTAATTCGAGCTAAAATTTACGCACAACACTATCTTCGTAATACAAAATTGAAACACTTTATTTTATTTATTTAAAAACTGGGAAACAATCGTCTTGAAATTTAATAAATGTTTCACAATAATAGGCTGTTTACATTTTTTCCGTAGGACAAGTTTGCCGCGTGCACACGTAGTTTGCATCAGCTGTGTGGCGTTAGGTTAAGCGCTGTTGTCACGTTGTGGCAAAACTCCCCAATATTAATACTCGCTGTATTTTGAAAACTGTTTTGTTCATTTATGATTACTCTATCTCATGCTGAAGTAATGGCAGTCAAATTTCTTACACCTTGTATAATCAGACAGAAAAATGAATAATTTAAAAAAATAAATTCGTTAAATTCATTCTAGTAAATGATAAGTGAAAGTAATGTTCTTAACTTAACTTACAAAATTCTTTTAAAAACATATTAGCTACTTATACTACACATAATGGGGCGAGAAATACCAAACTTTAATGAAAAAGTAATAAAAAAGTTTATTTCGGACAAAAGCAGAAGAAAGGACTTTCACAATAAAAAATAATGTTGAGCATATTTTCCCTATACATATATATTTCAATAGGACTTAAAATGAAACTACTCAATAAGTATATTTGATTTTTTAAATACCTTGAACTTAAATTTTTCCGCACTTCCTGGTATAGAAGTAAAGAGTCGCCACAATAATTTGATTTTGACACAAAGTAAATAAAACTGGACCCAAAATAGAACCCCGTGGCACCTCCAAATTAACACTCAATAGTCCAGACGGTATCTGTTTCAAAAAGCCATATTTGGGTGAATCGTATATCCACGGAGATTTTTGGCTTTTTGGCTTTTAAATACCACTAGAAATTAAATTTTTTCTATGCGCATAAAAATAACGTGGGCTTAATTTTTGGCGGCACAATATGTTAAAAAAATTCGAAAAATGTCATATTTATATTTTTCTTCTTATTTAATTATGTATCTTTTCAAGAGTTGATTTTAGGCGAAAATGGAAGAGGAAAAAAATGTTTGTAAATAATTTTTTTTACAAAACATGACTAGTTACAAATCGAATGAATCATGATTATTATGATAAAAATCGAAAAAATCGCAAAAATTGGGTTAAAAAGCAATACTTTTTAGGGAATTTTTTTTGGGGTGTTCAAATTGAGTATAGGACCTTTATACTTAGCTCAAGAAAACTTCATGTCATATAGAATCATCACACCAAATTTCATCAAAATCGGTTCGATAGATTTTGCATAATAATCTTGCAAACCAGATTTTGAAAAAAAATTTGCAAATTTTCAAAGTTTTGTACAGCAAAAACCAAGGCCCTTAGATACTTGAAAATTTAATCACATATAGAAGGCTTTCAAACTTTTTTTGAAAAATTCGAATCCGTCAATTAGGAGAGCTCTGGCGGTGCCAGATTCCTGCAGTAGCTACTAAAACAATATTTTTTAAATGGCAACACCGAAAAAAATTATTTGTAAATTTTTCTTAATCAAGTAATTTCCACAACTTTGCTTTGGAAGTACTAGTCTATTACTTCAAATAAAAAAGTTGGCCTATGTCAGGTTTTAAAAAAATAACACTGTATATACAGGTTGTAGAGATTCTGTTCCTAACAGTATATACGTGTATCTATTTTTTTCAAGGTCGTATTTTTCGAATACAAAATATATATTGAAATGAAAGAAAGATTCTTTTTTTAATATTAATTTTTATTTTGATTCAAGTATAATTCAAATATTATTTATTGTTTAAAATATAAGCAAATGAGAAATTAACTCATTATATTACTAATTTTCGTAATATTTTGAAAATAATTGTTGTTTAAACAATTTCAGAATATTTAAATTTTGTTTTTGATCTTTGATAAACAGTATATAAGTTTATGCACTTACCTTTGATACAATAGAAAAATAAAGTTGATAAGTAAAGGAAGATTAAAGATAAATAATTATCGGACTGTTGAAAGACCAATAATTATTAACGATAGGAATTTGAAAATACGCTAAAATTAAAAAAAAATCATCAAAATCGGACCTCTAGAAGGTGAGATATTAAAAATTTTTAAGCGCGTCGCGGTTTTGAACTCGCCGATTTAATTTCGAGCAGGCCGAAGCGGCCGCGCTCTCTGCTTACCCCACCACCACCACCACCACCCGTACGATTTTCTTGAATTATATAACTACGTAAGTAATTGACCAATCGATCTGTTTTTTTTTTAAAGAAGCGTCTTTCCAAGAACTTTTAAAATCTGCTTTAAAAAATTTGATTTAATTGAATATTCACAAAGTTATTCTAATTAAGTACAAAAATTCGACCAATGTTTAAACAAGCGCCAGAGCTCTCCTAATTGACGGATTCGAATTTTTCAAAGAAAGTTTGTAAGCTTGATAGCCCTTCTATATGTAATTAAATTTTCAAGTATCTAAGGGCCTTGGTTTTTGCTGTGCAAAATTTTGAAAATTTGCAATTTTTTTTTCAAAATCTGGATTGCAAAATTATTATGCAAAATCTATATAAGATTTTTTCGATTTTTACCATGATAATCATGATTCATTCGATTTGTAACTTGTCATGTTTTGTGAAAAAATTTAATTACAAACACTTTTTTTGACATTTTTCGAATTTTATTAACATATTGCCGCCAGAAGTTAAGCCCACGTTTTTTTATGCGCATAGAAAAATTTTCATTTGTAGGCTTTCAAATATCGAAAATCTCCGTGGATATACGATTCACCCAAACCAAAACAGATACCGCCTAGTCTACAAATAACTGGATTGATAATTACTTGACTGATTATTTTTTGTCACTGAAAGAGGAGTACATATATTGTTGTCAATTTTTCAGGAGTGATGTTAAATTCTGTAGCCTATCCAAAAAACGCATATTCGATAATTAATTTTTAAGGAATTTGCCTGAATTATATGATAAATTTAGTAATTACCTAAGTGATAGATCTCGAAATTGATTTGCAAATACTTTTTATAAGAAATAAAGGAACTTCATCCTCCCCTGAAGATGCTTTAATTTTTAATTTTCTATTAGGTTCAACAGTTCTTCATTAGTAAAAGGATAAAGAAATGAATCAGAAATTTGTATAGATTGTTTTAAAATCAAGTAACAAGCAATTTTCATGACAAGATTAAAAAAATTAAGTACTTAATTTTCATACACATTTTCTAGTTTTGTTCTTATTTTTTTGTAATGTTTCTTATTCGAAAACAAATAAATTTTATGGTAGGTAATATTCTTAATAATTTATAGGTCATTGAATTGGATTCCAATGCCACTGGAACCTGTTTGGTTAAAAAAATTTGTTTATTTCTAATTGATATGGGGAATCTCCTTTATCTTTTTATATTTGGCAACATTAAAAAGTACCTGAAAAAATATTTTTTAGTAGGTGAACAATTTTATATAAAAAAATTTTAAACAACATCCAAATTTTTAGGGATAAGTTGTATTGTAGGTACTGCTATTCCGTAAGTTATTTGACAGTTTCATGGATGACGTGTTGTTTATATTTCTTTATAAAAAAAAATTCCATTCCTTTGAGGTCAACCAGTTAAACAAGACGGACAATTATTCTGATTCTGATCACCTTTTCATTATCATTGATTGTAGTTGTACCTCTGTGAGTTGTATCTACAGTGCAGTGTAGAAATAAAAATGACAAAGTACCCGATAGTTATTCTTTTGGGCTGTCTGTTTATCTTCTTTGGTAAGTCTAAAACTTAACAATCTATATATTGTTGATAATATTAATTTAAAAATGTACGAAAGTCTGCAATTAAACTATAGGGTATTTAATAATTAACGTTTGCAGATGTATTGGAAGTGGCTAGTATTTCTATCAACGCCGTAGCGAGTCTATTAGGGCAAATATCTGACAGAATAGAGTAAGAAAATTTAAATACCTAGAGCAGCGGTTCTCAATCTGAGAAACGCTATTTACCAGAATATATGTTTCGTGTGTTAGGGATATACGCAACGGAAATAGCACTAAAGTTTGTTAACTTTATTTTCGAGATAAGTGTGGTTGATATTAAAAAAAAACAGGTCTCCGAAAGCAGTGTTGAAACTTGGGCTGATTATTATTTATCTAACTTCAGGTAATAGGGTCAGTTGGGGTAATTGTAAACGATTATAATAAAATCAACTTTGATAAAGTCTAAAATTTGAAGTTTAACAGTTGTGAAGATAACCTTAATACTGGACTTTCTTTGGAACACCTTCTAGAATGCCTTAAACATGCAACTTAACATTGTTAACCATTACCGAAAAAAAGTGTGTTTACAATTACCCATGAAAAAAATAAATTATTATTTATTAAATATTGGGGCAAATGTAAACTAACCATTTATCGTTCTATAAGTTCTAAATGATTTTCCTATTCTAGCCTATTCTAGCTCGAGCTATAAGGCAATTCGCAAGGTCGTTTCTACATCTATTGGGATTGCAAGACGGCGTTCTGCAAACTCATAGGCTTCATGGTATTTTTTCTTCGTTTAATCCTTTGATATATAACGGCAATATGAATATTGTAAGTCTCCCTGTAAATTTTATTGATATTCTGTACATCATTAACAGCATTAATAAGATCCAATTCGCTGTATCTTTCAATGTTCGGTCGTTTCTTCTGATAATCTCGCACCATTATGTTTCTGAGAGTATATAGAAACGCGTTTACAATTACCCCTTAAATGCTTTTACAATTACCCCGTTTCAAATTTTTTACGGGGCAATTGTAAACACACATCTACTATGAATTTGTGAAGCCTAACCTAAAAAAGTAACGTGGTTTCACATTGTTCATTCCATAATGAACGCTACTATATAAATTAATTGCTTTATCTTTATCAAAATCTGATTTATGCACATTTAAAAAGCAAAAGCAAATTCTGCTTAACAAACTTTTGAGTCGAATCTCCGAAAAATAACTGCCACAAGCAGAAAACCAACACAATGAAATCGTCATTGCTGTACTATAACAAAACATAAATCCACATGTCACGAATGCCGCTGTACGTCCGTCGTTGCTACCAGCCAAATTCAAAAGTTATGAAGCTTGTTTACAATTGCCCCTGTTCACGATTACCCCAACTGACCCTATTACTGAATTTGGATACCTACAAATATGTTAATCAGTGGCAAAGATGCCGGAGGTCAAATTTGAAGGCTGTTAGCAACTTATAGTGATATTTTTACTTAATTTTAAAAGTATTAAGTTAAATCAAATAAATTCAAAAATTTTTGTAAATTCCAATCAAATCTTTTAATCTTACGCCCCTGTAATATTCAACTTTTTTGTTCATTTATGATTACTCTATCTCATGCTGAAGTAATGGCAGTCAAACTTCTTACACCCTGTATAATCAGACAGAGAAACGAATCATTTTTTAAAATAAATTTTGAATTATATTATATTTTGGCATGACTTTGTATTCAGACAGCCTGTTAAAAATTTTTACTTGGATATGTTTAGGTAAATTTTTAGGTAAATTCATTCTAGTAAATGATAAGTGAAAGTAATGTTTTTAACTTGACTTACAAAATTCTTTTAAAAATATATTAGCTACATATACTACACATAATGGCCGATAAATACCAATCTTTAATGAAAAAGTAATAAAAAAGTTTATTTCGGACAAAAGCAGAAGAAAGGACTTTCACTATAAAAAATAATGTTGAGCATATTTTTCCTATACCTATGTATTTCTCAATAGGACTTAAAATGAAACTACCCAATTAGGTATATTTGATTATTTTAAATACTTTGAACTTAAATTTTTCCGCCCTCCCCGGTATAGAAGTAAAGAGAATAATTTGATTTGATACAAAGTAAATAAAACTGGACCCAAAATAGAACCCCGTGGCACCTCCAAATTATTACTCAAATAAATAATTGGATTAATATACTGAATAAACTGAAAGAGGAGTATACTGTTGCCAATTTTTCAGGAGTGATGCTAAATTCTGTAGCCTATGCAAAAACGCATATTCGATAATTAAAATAAAACATTAAGTACAGATACAGGTCTGTAATTCTTAAGTAAGGAAGTAGCAATTCTGTAGCCTATCCAAAAAACGCATATTCGATAATTAATTTTTAAGGAATTTGCCTGAATTATATGATAAATTTAGTAATTACCGAAGTGATAGATCTCGAAATTGATTTGCAAATACTTTTTATAAGAAATAAAGGAACTTCATCCTCCCCTGAAGATGTCTTAATTTTAAAATTTTTATTAGGTTCAACAGTTCTTCATTAGTAAAAGAATAAAAAAATGAATCAGAAATTTTTTATAGATTGTTTTAAAATCAAGTAACAAGCAATTTTGATGACAAGATTAAAAAAATTAAGTACTTAATTTTCATACACATTTTCTAGTTTTGTTCTTATTTTTTTGTAATGTTTCTTATTCGAAATCAAATAAATTTTATGGTAGGTAATATTCTAAATAGTTTATAGGTCATTGAATTGGATTCCAATGCCACTAGAACCTGTTTGATTAAAAAAATTTGTTTATTTCTAATTGATATGGGATATCTTTTTATATTTGGCAACATTAAAAAGTACTTGAAAAAATTATTTTTTTGTAGTAGGTGAACAATTTTATATAAAAAAATTCATTCAACATCCAAATTTTTAGGGGTAAGTTGTATAGTAGGTACTACTATTTCGTAAGTTATTTGACAGTTTCATGGATGATGTGTTGTTTATATTTCTTTATTTAAAAAAATTCCATTCCTTTGAGGTCAACCAGTTAAACAAGACGGACAAGGATGAAGACGATCGCGTTTACTAAAAATAATTATTCTGATTCTGATCACCTTTTCATTATCATTGATTGTAGTTGTACCTTTGTGGGTTGTATCTACAGTGCACTGTAGAAATAAAAATGACAAAGAACCCGATAGTTATTCTCTTGGGCTGTCTGTTTATCTTCTTTGGTAAGTCTAAAACTTAACAACCTATATATTGATGATAATATTAATTTGAAAATGTACGAGTCTGCAATTCAACTATAGGCTATTTAATAATTAACTTTTGCAGATGTATTGGAAGTGACTACTAATCTTTCTCCTAAGACCCTAGAGAGTCTATTAGGGCAAATATCTGACAGAATAGAGTAAGAAAATTTAAATACCTAGAGCAGCGGTTTTCAATCCGAGAAACGCTATTTACCAGAATATATGCCTCGTGTGTTAGGCATACACACAACGGAAACAGCACTAAGGTCTGTTAACTTTATTTTCGAGATAAGTGTGTCAAAATTTAAAAAAACAAGTCTCCGAAGGCGTTTCACACAGACTGTTGAAACTTGGGCTAATTATTTATCTAATTTCAAGTAATTTTACTGAATTTGGATACAAATATGTTATTCAGTGGCGGAGATGCCGGAGGTCAAATTTGAAGGCTGTTCGCAACTTATTATATATATTTTTTTATTTTATTTTACTAGGTATTAAGTTAAATCAAATAAATTCAAACATTTTTATAAAGTCCGATCAAATGAAGTTCTTTGATAACAAAAATCTAGGTAGATAAAGATATTAATAACATCGTAGACAAGATTCTTAACTGATCTTGCGGAAACAATATATAGTTAACAGATAGTAATTAATATTTATCTAAAAAAAAATAAAAATGATATACAGTGTGGCCCCGGATAGGGCACTCTTGGTAAACTCTTTTATCGTTAATTTTTTGACAAAAAGTTATTCTTACCTTCGACAGTAATTAAATATGTAATAAAACATACAGGGCGTCCAAAAATTTTAATATGTGAAATTTTCCTTAAGCAAAGTACCTTTAATTTTTGTTTTCGTTAACAACTGTATATAATAAAGTTATTCGGGAACTCAAGAAATGCTTAATACGGGGTTTAATCAGAAAAGAACAATAATCACACTTTTCAAATAAAAATATGTCGCAATTTTTAATAAATAATCTTCAATTTCAAAAGTAAAAAATAACAAAAAAAATTAATTTTTGCATTTTCTTTATTAAATTGTATTTAATATGCTTCGCAGTTAATAAATTTTTAAAATATTTTAAATAAGCTATTTCGATAGAAAATCTCATTATCTACAAAATTTTTCCTAGGCAATACCCTCAAATTTCGCTTCGTTTTCGAGATATACTCAAAAAACCGTAAGGGTTGGATTTTCACCCATATCTCCAATTTCCACCCTCTAATTTAATACCACTCCGCGGTTTTTTCTTTCTGAATAACCATTTGAACGATTCGTGCAATAAAAATCCATCAATGTTGTAGTTCCTTAGTAACCTGCTTTTTAAGACATAATCAATAATCAATCATAATCAATAATCAAAACCAACCTACTGCTTGGTCTTAAACTAATAAGTTGAAAACAATTGTCCAATTAATTAATGTACCGGGTGTTTTTACTATGAATTTTCAAAAATTGTCAAGAGTAAAGTATCTCTGTTTTTAAAAATATCAGAAATGTTTACTAAAGTTGTTGAGAATTAAAAGTTATGACAGATTGTCAATTTTCAATTTAATCGGCCAACTTTGTTTTTTTTTATTTTTCACAACCACAAAGTACAAATTCCTATTTATTTATTAGAAAAAAAAAACGTAACTAATATAATAAACATGAATAAACAAATAATATAAAGGTAATTCAAATGTGCTGCCACCAACCATTACACATCGCTCTCTTTGATCAAGTTCTAACAAGACGTACACCCAGCGCATTCAACGCGAACCGTTTCCTTAGCGGTGGATTGGACGAAATGGCCCAATCCCTTGGTATACTGGAAGCCCTGATTTAATCCTAATGGACTTTTACTTATGGACCTATCTCAAGCAGAAAGCTATGGGTCCCCGTTAAGTAACTATTTGTTTGAATTGAAACGAAGAATAGGAGATACAATTAATGCTATTCTAATTCAAGAATTCTAAAACGGCTACACAGAATTGACTAAGCGCGTTGAACGATGTGTAATGGTTGGTGGCAGCACATTTGAATAGCCATTAAACTATGTGTTTATTTATGTTTATTATATTAGTTACGTTTTTTTATCTAATATCTAGGAATTTGTACTTTGTGGTTGAACTGAAAAAAACAAAGTTTTCTAAGTAAATATTTTTTATATTTTTAAAAACAAAGGTATTTTGCTCTTGACAATTTTTGAAAATTCATAGTAAAAACATTAATGTACATTAATTAATTGGAATAATTTTTTCTACTTCTCAGTTTAAGACCAAGCAGGGATGATGCCCAGAAACTCAAACAACTCGAAAATTTGTTTGTCATTTACACCCCACGTGCACTCAATCCATGGACACACTGTATGTATTTTTAGAAGAAAAACTCAGTAAAAGGATAAATATTAGTTAAGTAAAAAAACAATTCTCATTAATTTAGTCATATAGTCAAAAAAATGTATTTGCTTTATATATAATTTTGTTACATTAATATTTATTAATTACTATCTGTATACGAGATATTGGTAGTGGAATTAAGTGCTAGTCCATGAAGTGTTGTTTCCCGCAATGTCATCAGTTAATAATCTTGTCTGTGCATATCTTTTGCATACCTAAGTAGATATATTTTAAATAAAGTAAAATTACAAGAACTAATGAGAAAGAAAAAAGAAATCGTAGTGGTATTTCTAAAAATTAACGCTTTTCTATTTTTACTTTGTTAAAATCACATTATCGTTTCCAAGCATTTCAATAAATCTAAAAAAAATTTTGTCTACAATTTCGATTTGAAATAAAAGGTTATCATGGAAAGACTGAAAAGTTATTGGCATAAAAATTTTGCTTGCTTGTTCTTAAAAAATCTCATTGATTTTTTCGCCTTTTTATTATTTAAAATTAAAAAAAAAGATCCTTTTTGCAAAAGTATTTGACAAATTTGAAGATATCAGTAATATAAAGGATGTCCCAAAATTCATGCAAGAAATAATTTTTATAGAAAACACAGGTTTTTAATTAAAAATTGTAAATTTTTTATTGATTCATAAAGTATCCAGTATGGAATAGCATATGGGGTAAATGGCCTCCACGGCTTTGCTGGCACATACGCACTCTGTTTCGAAATTATTTTCCTTGACCGTTTTGCATAAATGCGACTGAACTTCGTTGACATAGCGCTCGATTTCCTCCTTCAGGGCGGGGGTGGTCATAGGCTTGTTGGCATAAACCTTAGACTTCAAAAAATCCAAAGAACAAAGTTTAACAGCGTAGAATTGCATGTTCTGGACGGCCAATTCTGATCATCAAAACGGGAAATTACACGATCAGGCAATAATTGAATTGTTTCTAGAGCTGTATGGTATCTCGTCATATCACCGTCTTGTTGAAACCACATATCGTGTACATCCACACCTTGCAATTTAGGCACAAAAAAATTGGATTATAATGTCGCGCATCTTTAACTGTTATTGTCTGACCATTTTGGAATGGTTCGTTGAACTTCCTAAAATCTACACCAAACAGTGACACGTTGTGGATGCATTTGTTTCTTAACATCTTAACAAACACTCCTGGATTTTCTGAACCCTAAATACGACAATTTTGTCGATTAACCAGCATAATCTATTCAACGAAGTCTCTTTGCTGTCTGCTTTGTATGGTCATTAGGCTTCAGTCCAGTTGTTCTGGACGATGTTTTGTGTTGAACGACTTATTGAAGGACGGCCAAAGTGTGTAAGATTTTGAATGGAACTCTATGTTAAATTTGATACAAATTTAATTGAAATATATTAAGTATAATCTGCGTGATATTTGAGGTTTTTCATATTTATTTTATTGAATTGAATTGATTTTGATACTTAATATTAGGAAATTGGCTTGCAGATGATACGCAAGCCAAAAAATGTTGGGAACCGCTGTTATAGAGACTAAACCTTGTGGAGATAAACCATACCGATAATTTATTATATTTTTCAGTATGTACGATTAAATTTCAGGTGTAAACTCCCTCCTTACCCACAACACGGCAAATGGAAACTCGCGGGTGGAAAGGCCAAACCAGGTGACACAGTACTAGAAAGTAGCGTTATCGTATTCGAATGTGACGTTGGCTACAAATTGTCTTCCAAAATTAAGCACCTTTATTGCGACGAAGACTGGGATTCCATAGAAATACCGGAATGTGAAGGTAACGTAAAATATTGAATAATAATTAAAACATAAAGCTAAAACTATTTTTTTTTTGCTATTTTTAGAGTCATGTCCTAAACTGTACTCTTCAACTATATACGACTTGAAGTGCACCGACAAAAAGGGAAATAAAATCAAATGCAGCGAGGCTACTAACGGAACGTTTTTGGAATACAACTGTGCCCCCTTTTACGAAACGCCCTTTGGATATAGGAAAACATTCCTGTGCCAAAATAAAAAATGGGATCAGAAACCTGTGTGCCTTCCAGGTGACTCAACAATTTTTATTTATAAACAGATTTTTTTTTTTATTAAAGATACAATAAACTTTTGGTTCACAACACAGAAGAAGATACAGCTAAATAAATATTGTTGTCTTTCAGTTTGTGGGAAGAAAATTACAGATGACACCAAGACTCTGATTTATGGTTCCAAACCCAACGACAAACTGGAATATCCTTGGGTTGCGGCGCTTTATATTAAGATAGACGGTTCGTATGAAAATATTTGCGGCGGATCAATTTTAAGCGCAACAGTATTGCTGACAGGTTAGTTTATTTAGAATTACACACAATAAAATTATTGATTTTAAAATTTTAGCTGCTCACTGTGTCACAAATGAGTATGGGGATGTCATGCCAGCAGATAAATATGCCGTTGGGGCTGGAAAGCTTTTTAACAAATACGAAGCTCCTGAAGATGATCACGCACAATACCTACAAGTATATTTTTCTTATTTATACAGGGTGTTCAAGAACGAATGTGTACCATCGCAATCTATGACTAAAAATAAAAACATATTTAGGCGGCAAATGCTTTTTGAACCTGGATCCACATAAATACGTAAAATTGGGTCCATCCTCATGAAACATGCGTGATACCAGTCAGCATCTATTTTGAAATGTACCTATACATATTGCGTACGCTATTTATTAACATTTTTTTTTAAATTATTTACGCAAAAGAGCAAATTACACTATCCTTTGTAAACGAATCGCATTTTGAACAAAACAACAACAGGCAAATTTAGTTTGAACTATCTCTATCACTCTACTACAACGATCCTTAACAAAATGTTAAATCGCTCTGCTGATACACCATTGGATGTTAATGTCACATGGTTACAACATATCAGTCATTACGATTATACAGGGTGGTTCTTAAGTAGAGGTAAAAAATTCAAGGGCGTATTCTGCGGCCAAAAATAAGGGTTTTTTGTTATATAAATGTGTGGTCCTCGGACAGCCATTGTCCAGCTAGAGCGTGTCAAAAATTAAAAAAAAAATCAGTTTTTAATTTTTAATTTCCAAACCGCTTGATATAATGTAACCAAATTCGGCAAAAAATATGTATCACCCTGTACAAATAAAATAGGTTATCTTCACTTTTTGTTTCGTTATATTTTTTTGTATTCCAAACCAATTAACAACAAAATTGATTTATTTGATATGTGCATTTTTGCACAGTGAAACTATTACTTAAACATATCTTAGGGAGACCATGCAAAACGATAATGATAAGAAGCCGTCTTCTTCTTTAATATTGTGTATTGTCAAATTAAGTTTATTTTTTAAAAAATTTCAGTAGTGGCTTATGGATATTCAAATGCTAAAATATCCAATATGGTTTACATTTATGGCATTGCAGATGAAAATGGTACTGAGGCTAGGCGAACTCCAAATTCAGAAATATTCAGAAATGTTTTTCAACGTCTTTCGAAGTCACGCTCATTTCAGAAAGGTCCAATTCCTGGAACCTTTGTGTGTTAGAACGCCTGAGTTGGAAGAAGCTACACGAAATTAAAGAAGATTAGGAAACTTGCTGTAAATCTTAAGCACCAACAGTTATACTCGTATCACATGCAAAGGGTTCAAGCCTTACTACCGCAGGCCTATCCTGCTCGCCTACAATTTTGCCACTGGATTTTGTGAAAAATTGAACGAAATGTTGACTTTACCGCTGGTATATTGTTTACCGACGAAGCTATTTTTTCCAGAGATGCTATAATGAACTTCCACAATAAACACGTTTGCTCCGATGAAAACCCTCATGCCATAATGGAATCTCGATTTCAACATCAGTTTTCTTTGAATGTATGGGTGAGTATTATTGGAAATGTCTTGTGGGGCCTTACCTTTTACCAACAACTTTAACCGGTGCCTCATACAGACATTTTCTTGAAAACATTTTACCTATTTGACGATATTCTCTATGCGCTAAGAGCTAAGAGAAAGAATGTGGTTTATGCACGACGGGGATCTCCGACATTTTAGTTTGAGTATTCGTAAATTTTTAAATGAAAAATTTGGTAATAACGTGATTGGACGAGAAACTCAAGAACCAGGTCAACCTTGGCCATCCAGATCACCCGATATGAACCCTATTGATTCTTTGTTTGGGGATATCTCAAAACAGTAACAAGGTTCACAATAAATCTGAGGACCACTTACAACAACATATTATAGCTGGTGATGTGATAAGAGTTACTCCTGGAATTTTTGGAAAGTGTTCAAGCTGCAATTTCAAGAAGATCTGAAGCATGTATTTGGTCTCATTTCTGTGGTGTGTATTTTATGTATTTTGGCTGAAGGTGGCCATTTCCAACATATGTTATAATAAATCATAGTAAAGTAATTCCATTATTAATTAAATATTTTGTTATTATTTTAAGTAATGTAATGAGTATCGTAGAAATGCACTTGATCAAATAAACCAATTTTGTAGTTAATCGGTTTGGAATAGAAAAAAGTGTAAAGAAACAAAAAGTTAAGATAATACAATGGCGCATGTGATGACTTTTTTTATTATATTATACAGGGTGATATTTTTTTGGCAAATAGGTATCGACGATACTCACACCTACGCCACTGGTAAGTTTCTAAAGCTGGCAATTTTTTGATTCATACCTACCGATTTGATAAATATGCACACCGAATTTGGTTAAATTTTCTCAAGCGGTTTAGAAATTAAAAATTAAAAACTGATTTTTTTTAATTTTTGACACGCTGTAGCTGGACAATGGCTGTCCGAAGACCTCACATTTATATAACAAAAAACTCTTATTTTTGGCCACAAAATACGCCCCTGGATTTTTTACCTCTATTTAAGAAATACCTTGTTATAGTTATGCATGTAGATTTGGTTCTGAAAGTTCTTTTTTTGTTTCGTATATTTTAGACAAAAAGAGAGAGGTTACAAATTGCTTCAACTTTTGTATCATGTATGCAGACCTGTTGCAGCATATCCCTAATATAATACTTTTTAATAAAAGGTTTTTTTTTAGCGAATAATATAATACAGTTACAAGAAGAAAATATCTACTTGACACTATAAAGTCAAAGATAGTCTACAAAGATAGTCTATAATTTAGTGAACATTTACTATTTTTGGGAAAAGAAAGTATATTTTTGAATGCACACATGTTCATTAAATTTGATAAGCAATTAAATACAAGTTTTTATGCAAATTTTACGCTTAAACGGAAAGCTGTCGAAATATAGTATTATTAAAGGATTAAAGGGTAGAAATAATCAATTAAAAAAAACAGTAAAAAAGTAGGGAGATCCACAAACAAAAAAGTAACAGCAAAATTTAATAGTTCAAATTTAGACCATTAGAATTGAGAAATTATTTTTTGACAATAAGATTCAGAGCTAAATAATAATAACCAGTTTCATTATATTTCTTTGTTTTGATGGTAACTAATTGAAAAAAAAATCAGACCTTTCCTTTCTTAACCATAGCATGTAAAGGCAACATTGCACATTAATTTTGGGACACCCTGTATACTACTAATTATTATCGATGACATTATGAACAGAAGTCAGAAAGGACAGCGCTTTGAAATCACACAAGTAATGATTTTTAAAATCTGCTGTCAGTGAAGAAGTTTTCAATTTTTTTTAACTTGTTTTTATATTTTTTCTTGCCTTTGCAGGTTTCAAAAATAATTGTTTCTGAAGACTACAAAGCGGATAGAAGACGTTTCCTGGCAGACATTGCAGTCTTGGTAACTAATGGAGAATTTATATTCAGTGAAGTCATACAACCAGTTTGCTTCAACAACGTAAAAAACATCCACCTGCACCCAGGAAGCATAGGAGAGGTACAACCACCAAGATAAGCAAATTTAGCATAAACTAATCTACCATATTTCAGATATCAGGTTGGGGGCTCTCAGAGGGCGAAGTCGCGTCCGATGTGTTGCGGACGCTGAAAATCCCTTACAAGTACGAAGCAACCTGCGCAGCAGAGTTACCTAGAGATTGGTCCGACAAGTACAACATGGCAGATAAGATATGCACGGGTTTCGTGGACCAAAATACTAGCGTGTGCGATGGTGATAGCGGCAACGGCTTGGCCTTCCAAAATCCGGAAGACAACAGGTATTACATTCATGGCCTCGTGAGCTTGGGGCCTAAGAAAGACTATCATTGCGACATCCAACAGAATACCCTCTACACCAGAGTGGCTTATTACTACCAATTTGTGGACAACCTTTTATCGCGTTACAATCCGGAAATCAAAGACTGTAAACTGCCCGCTCATCCCAAAAATGGCAAGTGGACAACCAAGAAAAAGGGTATGAAGCCAGGAGATGTCGTTCCATCGAGTATCATTTTGACAGTGAGATGCAATGTGGGGTACACGCCATCATCTCGGGCAACTAGCGTTGAATGTGGTTCTACTTACTACATGCCTACATGTCAAAGTAAAGTTATAATCCTTATAGTGACCTTGTAAAGGACTAATTTAGTTATTAATATAATTTCTAGAGCTGTGCTCTACGCCAAATTTCCCGAAAGGGACGTTCTCCCAATGCACCAATGGGGAAGGGCAGGCCATTCATTGTTCGGAAGCCGTCGACGGAACGACGCTGTCCTACCTTTGCCCAGTTCTGTATCAATCTGCTCCTGGTACCACCAACGTGAGGACTTGTGTAAAAGGGTCCTGGGAACCTTCCCAACCAGAATGTGTGAGGATCACCAAACGTAAGTTTTTTTATTGGAAGAAAAAATACATATCGAGTCTTGAAATTTAATTCGAACGGTATTACTTTTATAAATACAGGGTGGCCAAATCAAAACGAAACAGAACCGTTATCAGGAACTGCGTCAAGATTGTAGAAAAACTCTCAGACCCATCGATTTTAGATTAAAGGGGGACATTCTTTGCTGGTATTTTTGACTCCGCCACATTCACCCCCAAGCAAGGGTAATCATCACCCCAAAATATTTAAATGGCATTGGGGGTTGAGTAATATTTCTTTTGAAAGCTCTTACAATTCTCTTTACAACAGACTTTAAATTTTATAATTCCGCCCAATACTTATTAAGAATTTTGATTTTAAAGTTGAAACTTATGTACAAACAATTAGTAACGGTAAAAATGTCAGTCATTCGAGTTAAGTACGCCAATGGTATAAATTTAGTATTTCTTGCGTTACATTGGTTTTTGGCGATTTGTTATCACTTTCGTAAAAAAAAACAAAATTGTAAAAAACAGAAATGAATGCTATACACACACAATGAACGTAAAATTAGTGGATTCCAAATTATTTTCTAGTATTATTTGGAAGCGTTGGTTGGTAGTTTATTTAATTGTGTTTTTGAAAATTAAACACTATGGTTTATTCCATTGCGGAAAGGGTAGATATCATTTCGCTTTACTTTATGAACAATAAATGTGCGAATAGAACAGCTCAGCTATTTAATGAACAACATCAAGATCGACATGTCAGGAGGAAGTATGTTCTAGAGTTAGTAAAAAAATTTCAAGAGACAGGGAACGTAGCCAATAAAAAACGAGAAATTGAAAAACCTATAGTTAATGAAGCTAGTGAAGTTGCAGTTTTGGGACAAGTTCATCTTGATCCTACATTAAGTACGAGGCAGCTGGCATCTGTGTCTGGGATCAATCGAACTAGCATACAAACCATTTTGAAGAAGAATAAATTCCATCCATACAAAATACATTTAGTCCAGGAACTTCATGAGGATGATTATGACCGCCGTTTGCAATTTTGCGAAATAATGAGTGAGCGAGCAGGGAACGATCCACAGTTCCTTTTTAACATCTGTTTTTCTGATGAATGCAGTTTTTTCTTGAACGGGACGGTAAATCGTCACAATTGCCGCTATTGGTCCGATTCAAACCCAAGAGTTTTTCACGAGGTGCATACACAGCAACCGGAAAAATTAAATGTATGGGCTGGAATTTTCGGTGACCGGCTGGTGGGTCCTTTTTTTCTACCTGGTAATTTGACTGGCCAAATGTATTTGCAATTACTGGAAGACGCTATTGACCCTGCCTTGACTGATATTATTGAAAATGTTCCAGAGTATGATGAAGATCATTTGATTTTTCAACAGGACGGTGCTCCTCCGCATTATGCGTTAATTGTCCGTCAGTATTTGGACCAACGTTTTCTACGGAATTGGATTGGGAGAAGAGGCAGCATTGAGTGGCCTCCACGATCACCGGATTTATCGCCCCTTGATTTCTTTTTGTGGGGATACCTAAAAAGTAAAATCTATAAAACACAGCCAGCGTCGCTGGAAGATTTGCGTCAAAGAATCGTCGACGAATGCCGTCGAATCACTCCGGAAATGCTTCGGAATGTGCGCGAACGTTTCGAACAAAATCTTTATTCTTGTATGGAAGCGGGCGGTCATCAGTTTGAACATTTAATCAACTAAGTAGTAAGTAAGCAACTAAACATAATTTAAATTTTAAAATGTAAATTTTTTTCAAAGTATTGGGCGGAATTATAAAATTTAAAGTCTGTTGTAAAGAGAATTGTAAGAGCTTTCAAAAGAAATATTACTCAACCCCCAATGCCATTTAAATATTTTGGGGTGATGCTTACCCTTGCTTGGGGGTGAAAGTGGCGGAATCAAAAATACCAGCAAAGAATGTCCCCCTTTAATCTAAAATCGACGGGTCTGAGCGTTTTTCTACAATCTTGACGCAGTTCCTGAAAATGGCTCTGTTTCGTTTTCATTTGGCCACCCTGTATAAAAAAGGCAGTTATTGGAGTTTGTTAAATTAATGGTAGCTGCTGATCTTAAACTAGTTAATTCATTGTTGTATTTGAACATACATTTGCTAGCAACTCCAATAATTGCTGAAGAATTTTTTTCTTCTATTCGATGAAATATTCTACTATAACTTTCAGCTACGGTAATCCTTTTACAACCTCATTTTGTTATTGTACTTTGGACAAATCAACACCAAGATCTATAAATGCTCGATATACTTGCCAATAGACGATATGCTCTATAAAAATTGTTCAAAGTTGTTTCCATGCGCTAATAAATTCCCAAACTTTATGACATCTTGTTTAATAATAATATTCGATTTTTTGGATTCAAAAATATAGGTAATATCGAGGATTTTTTTAATTGACTATAAGTTTCTTAACATTGAATAGTATGTATACGGATACATTTTTTTTTTCATTGGATAAATTACACAAAGTATAAACTATATAAATAATTAAAGTACGCCGCTAGTAAAACTTTCTCACGTGTTACCTTTGTATCTCTACTTGTACACCATTCTTCGTAAGAGTAAACCAATCTCATAAAGAATACGTGATTTTTCCGGTACATTTTTAACACTTTCCTGTACATCAGAGGGTAAACTGACATAATCTGAATCATTTATTTTATTAAATTGCAATGAATATTCACTAATGCAATAATTTAAATTTGACCTTGACCATAACTTTCAAGATAAAGCCAAATTTAAAAATATTCAATGGAACACTTTACATTTTATATCAGCAATCAATAGAGTACCAAATTTTATGCCCGACCAAGGGATCAGATAATTTTTCCGGTATATCCTTGCAAGTCATTAAAATATCAATTTTCAAGTTTATAGAGTTATTGGGTTATGGGGTTTTGGGGTTTATGGGGTTGGAGGATGATAGAGTTAGGGGGTTTAGGGGTTATAAGTTGATGGGGTTTGCTACACGTCGAGAAACAGCACATTGATTTAGACCTCCAGGCGCTAGAGACCGAAATCTCTGTTGCTGAGCAGGTTTGGAGGTTATGAGGTTATTGTGTTATGGGGTTTGAGATTATGAGGTTATGGGGTTATGGGGTTATCTGGGTTAAGATGCTTGGAGATTAAATAGTTTACGTGTTATGGGGTTTTTGGGATTAATTTTTGAGGTTATGGAAAATTCTCGTTCCTATCGAGTTATTCAGAGAAAAATTATTTTGACATCCAAATCATCATTTTGGAAAACTCTGTATAAACAATTCTAGCGTTGTCAACGAAATAATGAATTGACTTATTATTTTCAAATGATACAAAATTAACTAAAAAATAATTATCGCTGTGCAAATATTTGAATTTTGCTTTTTAATTATCTTAATAGATTTCAGCATATACTAATGTCTGTGCTTTCAGAGTGTGGTAAAGCCACAACTTCTGGCGATACAGCCCAAAAAGGCTTAAAATATCCTTGGACAGCAGGAGTTTACAAGTTTCATAATAGCACGGAGGAAAAGTATAAGTACATTTGTGGCGCCTCGATAATTTCAAAAAATGCCGTTTTAACGGGTAAGTAGGTATCCTCTAAAATTTAATTCTGAAATTTTTTTCAAATTATTTGTTTACACTTCTGCACCATTTTTTTTTCTTCTGTCCTTTGAACAACACTAACGATACAATTTTCCCAAACAAAGCTGCCCAATGCGTAACAGATAATTCAGGCGATATACTGTCGAGGAAAAATTATTTGGTTGCTGCAGGACAGGTCTACGCCAAGTACAACGACTCTAGAGACGTGCAAGCTCAATACAAAGAAGTAAATAAATGTATATATAATATGAATACCGAGACTACGCTAAGTTTAAATTATGTTTTAGGTGTCTCACATCGTAATTCATCCGTATTATAAGCCCGCATTTTTTCACCCTGGAGATATAGCCATACTATTCGTAAACAGTCCGTTTACACTCAACGCTTTCGTACAGCCTGTGTGTTTCCCTAACCGCATTGATAAAATGCTCCAGATTGGTGATAAGGGAATGGTAAGTTGAATTTTATAATGATTACAAGCCACATGGTCGCCGAGCTTAGGCAACCAACATTGCACGATTGGTACAATCAACTAAAAATCCCTAAATATTAATGATTCATTTTTAATGTAAAGCTCATTGTTTTAGTCATTTTTAATTATACAAAAACTTAACTGCCAACGCGAAGGAAATAAAATTACTGTTCCAAACAAAATTACTAGTGACGTGACTTGTAATCATTTATGAAAACTTTATACAGGGTGAGTCATTAATAATGGTACACAGCTTAATGGCAGATTGTTAACGTCAAAATATAGCGATTGAGCCAAACATGCCTTAATCAATTGTTGCTCATTTTCGTTCTACAGGGTGTTAAAGTTGAAAAAATATTTTCTTTTTTACCTATATTTTAAGTATGTATGGACCGATTGTTTTGAAAATTTGTAGTTTTACGTTTTTTGATGAGGCAAATACGAATATGCAAATTGTGTTGAGGTCACGTCTAGGGTGCGCTAGTTGTACTGACCTGTCAATGTAAAAATCTGTCTAACTTTTCGTATTTTGTATTATTAATTTTTTAACTACAAATTATTGAACTACGTTCAATTCTAAATAAAAAAGGTGTACTAGTTAAAAATCGATAAACTAAACCGTTTTCGAAATACAGACGTTTTAAGTTTTTGAGAATCGGCGGGAATTAAATTAGAAAATTAGCAGGTCTTAAGATACGAAGCCTGAATTAAGAATTAAGACAAACATTACAGCAATTAAAGATTTTATTATGCATATCTTAACAAATTATTAACTTCCAGCAACTTCAATGCACTTTCTTAGCTATTTATTAAGATATTCTCTTCTCTAAAAAATAACGACAAGGAAAAAACTACCTCTTAATCAAATTGAGTCAAACAATATGGTATTGTAGTGATAGCTATCAATTTATTATGTCAATGCCTACTACTTTGGAAAAAATAATTTTTTAATTTAATTCCCGTCGAATCGCAAAAACTTAAAATGTCTGTATCTCGAAAACAATTGAGTTTATCGATTTGTAACAAGTATATCAATTTTAATTAGAATTGAACGTAGTTCAATAATTTCTAGTTAAAAAATTCAAAATTGTAAAATATAAAATGTTAGAAATATTTTTACATTGACAGGACAGTACAACTAGCGCCCCCTAGAAGTGACCCCAACGCTATTTGCATATTCGTATTTACCACCTCAGAAAACGTAAAACTACAAATTTTCAAAACAATCGGTCCATACATACTTAAAATATAGATAAAAAAAGAAAATATTTTTTCAACTTTAACACCCTGTAGAACGAAAATGAGCAACAATTGATTAAAGCATGTTTGGCTCAACGGCTATATTTTGACGTTAACAATCTGCCATTAAGCTGTGTACTATTATTAATGACTCACCCTGTATAAATGAATCGTTCACTGATCAATTTAGTCCAACCAAACTACACTTAGGAAAAGAAATGATTCCTGGACTTTATAAGTGGAAATGCGTGAGCGGAGGTGGTGAGGGGGGTTGCAAAAAGGTGAAGGTTGGTATTTTTGGGATTTCCGGTGAGAGTTGACGTCAAAAAAATTATCCTATACAAAAGTTGTACATGATGCAAAAAGCTGCAACTTTTGTAGTGTTCAGTTTAGCGAACATAATCTCAAAATTTCCGAGAAATGGTTTTTTCTTTTATTTTTCGTTTTTTATTTTTCATTTCCGCAAAAATAATTTAATTTTGACGATACTAGGCGAAAGTATCCATACCTTTCTGTGTCTTAAATAACAACATATTTTTTTAGATAAAAAAAATCAAGAACTTTTCGAGATATTCATTTTTTCCGGTTCGAAACAATTTTTTTTCAAACACAAATTCTTAGAAAAATCATAATACGAAGTGCTCATTATTTTCGTTTTGACATACTTTTTGGTAAAATAAAAAATATGTACAATCACAATTCAAAAATATGCTCAAAAATGCAAAAAAAAAGATAACATGACTCGTACAACAAACAATTTTTCAGAAATTGTTGATAATTTGATTAAATTTTTTAAAGAATTTGAAAAACTGATTACAAAATTCAATTCTACGGACAAAAAATCTAAAGTTTTTCATTTATTGACCCGAAACTTTTTTTTTGTACCAAGACTACTAATCCAATAAAATAATCCAGTAAAATGTTCGTTAAAGTGTTCTTTACTTTTTTAGAACAAAATGCAAAAAATCGTAGTTTAAAACTAATTTTTTTTATTATTTATTCATTTTTTCCGTACAATTAAATGGTATGAGTTTTTCAATTTTTTAAAAAAATTTCAAAAATTACTGAAAAATTCATTGCTGCAATAATCATTTTATGCATTTTTGAGCAAGTTTTTGAATGAATATACAGTGCGTCCATGATAAGGATGGGATAGCATTAGGATCTAGGAAACGATATTTTTTTTATTCAATAATTTAAAAAAGTTGTATCTACTTAATAAAAAAATTATACGAATTTATGAAATGTTTTATTAATTCTAATTAGTATTGCTAATAGTAGTAAAAAAATTGTTGGATATTTTGTGCTATATTGACTTTTATACTGTTATGACTTCCTCCAATAGATATTTTGAAAGCGTTCAGGAAAAATTTCAAATGATAGCTAAAACAAATTAAAAACCTTTTACAATTTACAATATCATATAATATCATCTAATTCAGAATTAAAAATTACTTTAGATTTAGCAACGTATTTAAAAAAATTAACTTGATGATGGCCCCGCGAAGACGAAACGTCGGATTGCAAACATCTTGACGCCCTTGGATAGAGCGAAAAAAGTGGCAATGTAAATATTGAATTTATTTTAAAATTCGTTTTCAAATAAAGCCAGAAAAAAAATAAAACGGTTTTGTAAAATTTCCTGGTTTTCCGGATATCTCCGAAACTACCTGGAATTTTAAAACTTTCTAAACGGCATATTGTTAGGAATAAAAAACAACTTTTTTCTAATTTGAGCCACCCCGTATCTCTTACCGTTTCCTAGATCCTAATGCTATCCCATCCTTATCTTGAACACACTGTATATGTATATTTTTTTATTTTACCCAAAAATATACCTATGTCAAAACAAAAAAAATTAGCACCGGCAGAACTCTGCACGATGATTTTTCTATGTAAAATTTTTGTTTGAAAAATAAGTGTTTCGGACCGGAAAAAATAAATTGATTTTTTATCTAAAAAATCGTGGTTATTTAAGACACAGAAAGGTATACTTTCACCAAGTTTCATCAAAATTAAATTGTTTTTGCGGAAATGAAAAATAAATAACAAAAAACACAAGAACAAACGATTTTTACATTTTTCTCGGAAATTTTGAGGTTATCTTTAAAGTGACCATTACAAAAGTTGTAGATTTTTGCATGATCTAACTTTTGTATTGAATACTTTTTTTTGACGTCAACTTTCGCCGATAATCGCAATAATACCGTTCTTCACTACTTTTCTACCCCCCAAATCAACTCTCCACCATCCCCGCTCACGTATTTATTTTTTTACGTTTATTATATGCCCCTTTATCGTTTCTAGGTAACAATTTTTTCTTTTTTTCGCTCTAAATGAGTTATTTCGATCGGTCTAATTGGTGCAAACAGATGAAGAACTGAAAAATTAATCTGGAATGATTTATGTACAGATTATTCATTCGCTTCCATGTTTCTGGTTACTAAATTTAGTAGATATTAGAGTAGGTTCAAAATCTCATGAGCCGCGAAAGGCGTGGCGTATCCACATAATTCCTCTAATAAGCACGTTGTGAAAACATTGACTCAGAATTAGACCACGTGCCTCAATACAACCAGAAATGAACTAAGGCGCTCGGGCATCAATAAAGTCAACTGGCGAACGTTCGTTATATATTTTTTTATTGCTTAAATTAAAATAATAAAGAATGGGGCATTTTATTATGATATTTGTAATCGGAGCAAAGGGTTGTTTACGCTACGAGAGCTCGAGATAGACTGTGAATAATGGATGTAATGTTTTTAGGACGTAGAATAATTTAGGCGACTGCCGGAATTATGTTTCTGCGCATATCAAGGTCAAAGCTCATAAGATTTTGAAACAACTCTACCACTGATATCAAGCAATGACTAAAAAATTAACAGATAAAGTTAATGTTAGTGTTTGACCATTTTTAACACTAACTTTTCCAGATTTCGGGATGGGCGTTGGAAGAAACTGAAAATTTTTATGAACCCGATGCGTTGGAAGTCACGTTTACAGAAAAAAACATCTGCGACGAGGCGTCCTACGCTCGCGAAACGATAAACACTCAAGATAAAATTTGCGTCAGTTTTAGCAACGACTCCCTTTGTTTGCGCCCTGATGACGTCGGAAAGGGTTTCTACTATAAAAATCCAGAGGACGGCAGGTACTACATTCACGGGATTGCCAACATAGCCTCCGACACGTCCCAAGAAAAATGCATGAAGAAGGTCTTGCTCACCGAAACGTTGTCTTACTATGATTTCCTTGACTGTGTATTATCGAAATTTTCTCGATAATCGTGTACTATATTTATACTATATGCTGCATACAGTGTGATGTGACCCATTTGAACACTTTTCTCCCCTCTACAATCCAAAAAAAAAAGCATTGTTTTATTACAGAGCCCTTTTTGTAGCCGTAACACTTCCATTGTCATGGAAATGTACTAGAAACGAACAAGGGGAAAAGAATATACCTAGCACTTTTCTGACCTATGACCCCTGAAAATCCTATTGTAAGTCCCCTAATCCCATTGTTCAATTTAATTTGTATCACGTTATTGTGTAGTATCAGTCCGAAACCAATTTTCGCGAACAATGGGTTCACAGATAAATTATGAAGTGGTTAAGTTGCGATTTAATGTGCGTTTTGTATGGTATTAAATTTGATTTACCGAAGAATTACGGTTGTTGGTTGTTCTTTTATGGCCACTTCCTCTTGAGTCTTAAGTGTCTCTAATCAAATTAAGCCATAAATTTCATTGCTTTAACCATTAAATCTTATTTTCGATTCCCCATCCTCAGAAATTGACAATTTTAATAGGTACATTTAAATAGAGTACCTACTGAGTGTGCATTTGAAAGGTTTAAGCTGAAGGCGGATACGAGCCGACGAAACGTAGTGCAACCGGTTGGCTCAAAATTTAATAAAAAAAAGTGTCAAATAGTTCATAAACGAGTAATTTCAACCGCATAAATTTTACTTTCAAAATAATATTTTGATAGTCATCCTCTACGGTTAAAATTTATGTGAAACTTCCCCTGCAGTTACAGATCTAATTTAAATGGGACTTGTTGGTTTGTATTGTAGTTTTATAGAGGGTATTCATTGGGTGGCAGAAAAGAGTGAATATTTTACATAACTGGTTTCTATCTAATGCCCTATGGGCAACACCATAGATTTGGTAGGCGCTGGATGGAATGTAAAGACAGAAAGGGTAAGAAATCGTGATATAAAGTGAGATGAAACAGTTTAGAGTCACGTGAGTTAGGTTAGTCTATTTATAAATTTAAAATATTGGCTGTAATTGTTTGTAGTATTTTTGTGATTCTTTTCATTAAATTTGGTATTATTTCCAGACTGAAAAGAAAAAAATTAAAAAATTGTGCTATAAAGACTCGTCAAGTTGTTGACGTTATAAATTTAAGTTAAGGTTAAAGTATATCTTTTAGTCAAATTCTTTTTTTTTATGGAAAACCTAATTGATCAATTCCAAACGATTCTTTCAAGCTTCAGTTAAGTTATAGTACATGGTAGCTTCTTTTCGGACAGTTCTCTCTTTTGGTAAACCTGATTGGCAAAACCTTGAAAATATTTAATTTGACAAATTACCTACATTTGCCAAAAGTAAGAAGCAGTCATGTACTTTCTGCTTTACTTCTGCAAGAAGCTGAAATAAGTTTAAAATACCTGGTAGCTTCTGTATTATGTCGTTGTGAAGAATTATTCACTTTTTCCATGTGAGATATTTTTGATTACGCAAAAATAAATTTCAACCTTTTGACTGATACACGAGGTTAGGTGTGCATTTGATTATCAGATTCCATATAGCAATCTAGAATTAAAGGTTACGTGACTTAGAGAAATAATTATATTAGAACAAAATGCGTATTTCCTACTTGTTTGTATAAGGTGTTTCAAAAAGTAGTTACGCAGGGAGATTCCCCATCTTAAAAAAAAAGTTCAAAAATTTCTATCAACATGGGTCCATTGTGTTATTTCTAGCGTTTTTAATTTTTCCTGTTTTTCTTCTGTAACACAAGCAATTTGAATAATTTGAATGAAATTTAGGTAATGGAGGCTAATTTTACTATCTTCTGTGATTCTGCTTAAATGAATTTAAATAATAAATAATTTTCAAACTCATTTTAACTATTAAGAAAAACAACAACGTTTAAATATCCTACATAATTTTACGTTTATCATCTTTGCGACGACTTTTATTACATATTTAATGGTTTATTTTTTACAAAATTGTTTGGTCAGTGTTAGGTTGTATTTGTCAAACTATCTACATTTTTTTAATAATAAAAATGTATTATTTTAAATACTTTTCCCAATCTAACTTTAAACTCTTTTAGTGTGACGTCACATATTTAGGCAACCCGCAACAAATTGTCATAGTTGAAATTGTACAGACCGAAACTGACCCTCGTGTACTATCTACATAGATACTATAAAAATGAACAACTTCAAATGACGTTATTTTTACAAGGATTTCGAAGTATTTAAGAACAACACGTGTTTCGTAAAATAGATGCACTATTGTGTTTAAAACTTACAACGATATAAAAGAATATTCTTAAATTTAAATAAAGTAAAAATTTAACATTATCCGTTTTATTCCCAACGCTCATGCTCGGAAAGAATAGCCTCATACGCAGGTGAGCTGTTGTTATGTTATCGTTGTAATCATTAACGTATTTTCTCTTGTTTTGTTTAATCTTGGCATTTTCTAGTTCTACTAAGTATTCTACTATACTGTGTCAGTGTGTTTATCTATTTTTTGTTTATCGAGTGGTTTATTATAGACGTACTCTTAACCACAACCAAACTTTTCTTGAATGATATCCTGTTGCGAGGCTACTTCGCTTACATGAAATTATCTTTAATGCGCATGCTCAGTAACATTGATATAATTTTAATTTTTTAATTACTATAAAAGTCAATATTGTTCTATTTTAAATATATAAATTCTATAATTCTATTAGTTTGTCACCTGGGGTTTGAAACTTCTTAAATATTTCTAATATTGCCAGAATATCGCAATATTTAAGGTCATGACAAAGAAACACTTATGTCCAAAGTACATAAGGTCGAAAATCGATCTAGTAAAAATATTGAAAAATTCTTTATGACAATGTGCACTTTGGTGTTGCCTATTATTTGGCGTATGTGACGTCAATACTAAAAACGTCTATTACCAAATCGTTTCGCTAATATTTCGTAAAAATGCGAAAAATAAAATAACTACACCCTGTATCTCAAAAATTAACTCACGTCAATAGGAATCATTTGTTTTATATTTGGATGAGCAATCTCCCACGAACTATGGGCATATGTCTTTTAAATCATTTTGTATGCTAATTAAACAATAGTTTAATCTCTTGATAAACATATCCTTGGACTTCAAATAGTCATCATGAAAATAGTTGTGTTTATAGATTTAGAAAATTTTTAGTAAACTTACTTTGGCCTCTAAAGTTTCCAGTTGCGCCATTCTTGGTTGAATGATAGTCGGTGGTATGGTGGCCTGAAAAAAAAAAAATTCTAACAGTTGTTGCTGGAATTGTATTATTCATGTTTATACTTTTACTTTTTTTATTCAACTTCCGAATTAACAAATGATTTATACCTCAATTATTGCAAAACATTTCAAATATGAATCAAGCGGCACATCTATACTGTGTCCCTAAAAATTTACAACATAATATGCGTTGGCAATTAATTATTCATTATCGTTCTATTTGGTAGTATTTAATTATTTATTTGTAATTAGAGAATGGAAAACGTAATTTAGTTATTACGTTTGTCAAACACTGCTGTCTTCATCTCTTGTTTTACAGGTTTACTTACCACTGTAGTGAACTATTATAATTTTTTTTTCGTTACGCAATAGTAGCACTAATATCGAAACTTATTCTACTGTGACATATGGTGAAGGTAAATTCAATCAAGTTTCACATCATATTCTAAATAATCGATGTTTATTCTAGTTTTTCATGACTTGTCATCTTTCAAATGATTTAGAATACGTATTTGGATGGCATGTATCATGATTTTTAAATCGATTTTGCTCCCAAATGACACAACGTATTTAAATGTTGCAGTACCACCCTTCTATTGCAAAATTGTTTACAATTAATTTTTTTTCTTTCCATCAAAGTCTGGAAAGCTAAGTATCATCATCGATCATCATCATTGATCATCATTATCGATCATCATCGATTAATATCATAGATCATCATCATCACATTGATCATCACCATCGATCGTCACCATTGATCATCACCATCGATCATCATCGATTATAATCTTGCTGTTACTTGTTAGAGAGTGCCACATGCGACACATTACATGTTTTTAAAATGTCATAACTTTTTTCCACACGGTAGATCTGCCTCTGACATTTTTTTCATTTCCTATCTTTTCTGTGTAAAAAGATATACTTTCGAGATATTCACCATTATGGTTTCCAATGCAACGAATTCAAATCATTTGGTATAGGAAAGTATGTATACTTTTCCAAGGTAGCTTTGAAAAAAAAATGGTAAAAGAAGTTTTCAAACTTAAAAACTTAAAAAAAAAGAGAGTAATTGAGAGTGAAGAGAAGAGTATTATGAAACTACATTTTTTTTAGATTGTTTGAATCATTAAACTCAAATTCGGACATGAAAGAAAGAAAACATAATTAAAAAATAAATAACAGCAAAAAATAAATAATCAACAATTTAAGTATAATAAAAGTGATCAGTTTTCTGTTACAACTGTTGGAAACTTTAAAGGTGAATATCTCGAAAATTTTTACGTAGAAAATTAGGAAAATGAAAATAGAGGCAGATATACTGAGGAGCAAAAAAGTTATGACATTTTAAAGACGCGCCGCAAGTGGCGCCCTCTAATAAATAATAGCAATTTATTAATTAATTCGCCGCTTCAAACAGCCTACCCAACATTTTGTACAATATCCGTAATTTTGAAATGGTTAGAATCTCCTTTAGGGCATTATAATTTTGTAGAATGTTTTATAACTTTTGTTGTACTACCACATTTCCTTAACTTTGCATTTTATTATTATTTTCGTATTTTTACGAAAACAGTATCCACGGACTATTATTTTAATGATTAACGAGTCGAAACGGACAAGACCATTTGCGAAATGAAGAATTCCGCCGCTAACTAAAATAGGAAAGCGTTGTTTATCACATTTTAGTTGAGTATGTTGCTTCATTAGCTGTATCTCCACTTAACTTTTTCCTCTCCTTATTAGCGATAGGAAGATAGAATTTCCTACAGTTCTGAGGTGTGGCCGGTATCGTGTCCTGACAGATTATTATTATAAATTACTACGAACTGCCATGCTCTTATGCGGCGTTAATTTTATTTGTTTTCGACGTTCATTTATATGCAAAACCCAATAAACGAGCTCCAGTATACGGGCTGGCGTGAGTTTACACTGCCCGACCAGTGGAGTGTCAAACGTGAGATTTCGTGTCTAAAATTCTGCACTGCATCATATTGTTCTTTATGAATTTTAAGTATCTGAAACAAAACAAATGAAAAAACGTGCATAGTTTTGTTTGTCAATGAATGCTGTAAAGAATCCTAGCCAACTAGAATTTAATAATTCAAATTAATTCAAGTCCTACAGCTATTATCATATGAGGTGAAAATATTTAGCTCTGGCGCCTTGTCTGTAGGATTATCATTGTTCTCTATACCGTACAGGGACGGTTCAAGGCATTTTGTAGCCTGTAGCTATAGCGAAACGTAACTATTTTTGAGGTGGATGTGACTTTAAAATTGTTGGTGTAGTCGGTTCTCCCACTATTTTTGATGGTTTATCAGAAATCGTCTACTTGTCTTCAACGACGAATCTAACTTGCTAAGGTCCAACTGGACAGATCTCGAAATAGTTGAGATGTTGTTCAAAATTTGAAACGATATATCAGAAGTGTACAATACAGTGAGTCACTGTATTGTAAAGTAATGAGATACAGTTTGTTTCTATTAATTTGCTTAATAACCACTGGCGGCTGGTGCGGAGGGGCTCCTTAGAATTTTTCATTGTAAAAAAATTTATTTTAAAATTTAGTTTACAATGTTATTTACATACTTAAATAAATTAGCCTTATGAAACACATTAAAAAGCAAATGTTAAATTTGTAATGTGCAGTTGGTTTGCAAAATTCTGAATACGTGAGCTCCTCGTACTCGTCTCTACATATGTAAAGTGTTTACAGCGGTGGTCATGGTTACAGTCGCGCAGCTGTGAAGGGTGGAGTGGGAGTAGCGCATATTTTCTATGCAGTTTGAGCTCTGTTTAGTCAAACAGTAAATAAATCATATTTTAGCTATTTTGGTACTTACATGTTCTTTCTTGTGTATGTTTTTTTTTAATTTGTAAAAGTTTAAATTGATTGTAGCACATGTAATGCTAACTATTGAAAATATCAATGGTGCGAAAAATACCAAACTTTAATGAAAAAGTAAGCAATTGAAAAGTTTATTTCGGACTAATGCAGAAGAATGGACTCACTACAACAAATAATATTGAGTATATTTTCCCTACATTTCAATAAAATAAAACTACGTAATTATATTAGATTTTTTTCCAATACTTTGTACTGAAATTTTTCTGCACTCCCTGATATGGAAGTCCCATTTTATGGGAAACTGTATAAAAAGCATATTCACGAAATTCTTCAAAAAAATATTTTACTTGTATTGCAGTCAAAATTGTTCTATTGAATTATACAATTTAACATCTATCTCTATGTAGTATACTTATATTGTGAAAATATTTACAAAAACATATTTCACTAAGGTCTATTGAAAAGTTTATTTCGGACTAAAGCAGAAGAATGGACTCACTATAAAAAATAATGTTGAGTATATTTTCCCTGTATTTTAATGGTACTTAAAATAAAACTACGTAATTATATTTGATTTTTTTTCCAATACTTTGTACTTAAATTTTTCTACCCTCCCTGAATGGAAGTCAGGAGCAGCTACTGTTAATAGCTCAACACAAATTTACAAGACGAACCCACTGCAAGTTTCCAAAACAAAAAAAATGCCTTGTAAAAATTATTATATTATTCCGATTCTTCATTTTATGGGAAAATGTGTAAAAAGCATTTTCAAATAATTCTTAAAAAAAAATGTTTTACTTTTCTTACAGTCAAATATTTGTAGTGAATTATATGTACTTCTATGTAGAAACTAGTATATTTATATTTTACCACCATGTGTTTTTATTTAAAATAGTTTATAGAAAATTTTCAGATTTCAAATTTGCTTGCTTGATTTGCTGGCATTTGTTAGCTGCAAAATTTTAATTATATATTTGATACGATAACAAAAAGTAGTAATAATCTTTAATGGCGTTTTCCAAATTCGTTTGTTAATTGGACTAGATCACAGTTTGTGTTTTATTACAACATTGCACTATTTTCTTTCTATACTATATGCTTTGTTTATTTAATGTATTTTATGTAATATATTTTTTTTTTTCAGCACACCAACACAATTTATAAAGATTTACAGAACTATTTTAAAAATTTTCAACAGTAACGTGTAACTACAACATAAAGAAATGTTCGTAGAAAATCTTACAAAAATTTTGAGATTTTGTTGGTACTTATTTAACATAACTTGATGTATCCTATAGCAAAACGGAAAGTGAATACGTTTAACAAAAGAGTAGTAAAGTTAAATAGAATATTTTAAATAATAAACGTATCGATAATAATATGTGATACAAATTGTAGTTAATCAAAATATCCATTTAAGTTACAGTAATTGCATCAATTTTTTATATTTTTTTTTCGGTAAAACATCGAAATGTACTTGTATAGTCTTTTCGAAGTCAGTTGTACATGTATAAAAACGCCTAGCAATAAAATTTAATTCGTTTATTATAACAATTTGTATATAATGTATAGAAAATTTCTATTAGGTACCTATATGTTCATTTGACCAACAACATATTTAATTATTTATGTCCTCAAAGGTCTTCAAAATGCCATGTTGTAATAATATTAGTAAACAAAATATCCCTCTTATTTCTCCCTTTCGCAATTGTAATATGAATGATTAATATAGAAGGGGCCTACAATAAATTAAAATTACCTGAACCCCTGAACCACACCAAATTCCGCATTGCTGCACTGCACTGCTAGGACATTGTTGATAACTGAATTTATGGCCACGTCACCCAGTGCGGCTGTGTTTGTGTCGCGTTTGCCCGCGCACTCATTCTTCAACTGGGCGACGAGACCTGTATATGAGTATGGCTAAATAAATATGAGAACAAGTTTTTCAAATATTTCAATGAAGAGTTGTTGTGTCAGGGACCGAACCTGGTAGGTACTGCCAACCTCTTGGTTCTTTAATTGAGATCGGAAAGACTATAACACTTCCACACACTAATTTTTAAATCTGTAATCATCAATAAGTTTAAAGTATAACTATTTTTCCTTTCGTTTATTATTTGCATTTCCGTTCTGCTGAATACTTCTAGACGGCTGT